TCTTTTTTTTTTGTTCACTGATATATCCGGAGCACCTGGAACAGAGCTCAGTAAATATTGAGTGAATGAATGAAACAAACTCTGAGGCTTCTAATAGGTGCTAAATAGATGCTATGTTCTCACCTCCTCCTTTTGTGTCCAGCTCTACTTGCTAATGTAGTTAAACAACTAGCTCGGGGCAGAGCCAGGCCTGGGACCCAGGTCTCTAGTGTCCCAAACAAGGGCACAGCCCCCACCCCACGGGAAACCCACTTAGAGGCAGGCACACTGGGTGGTGTCTTGAAGCAGGACCACCACTAAGCTATGTGGGGCCCCACACAAGGAAATTTTGAGGGGCTTTGTCTATGTGAACAAATTACAGTAAGTCCCCGACTTACGAACATTCGAGTTATGAACTTTCACAGATACGAATGGACCTCACATTACGAACATTCGTAGATGCAAACAAATCACGGAAGTAGCTCACATGTCTGCCGGACATTGTCACAGTTGTGCTGCTGTGTTCTTACTGTACAGTGCGATAGTATACAGTGTACAGTGCTCAGTCAGAGCCCAGGATGTCCAGAAGCAAGAGGGAAAGCAGTGGTGATGCGGAGGGGACTGCTAGGAAGTGTCAAAGTTGTATAAGACTCACTTTGTCGGACTTACGAACAAATCCGACTTAGAAACATTCTCCCAGAATGGAACTCGTTCGTAAGTCAGGGACTTACTATAATTTTTAAATTATGTTACAGAATTCATGGGCTCGTGTGAGGTATAGTGATTTTTTTTATGGAGATTTAGAATAATGGTTAGAGAAGAGGTGCTTTTGTCCTTGTTTGCTGTCTAATCGCTGAATGTAAATATTCTTCCTGGTGTCCGGGCAGCATCTCTGCCTGCTCTTTGCTGTCAAACTGCCATTCCTGAGCAATTTCATACTGCTGCGGCTTCTCCAGCCTGTTTGGGCTGAAACAACAGACCTCCCTGCCTGTGCTGCCCCCTGAGCCCCTCATGCCACGCTGGCGTGCCGTCACTCCTGACGCTGGCTCTGGCTTCTGAGGACTGTCATCAAGGTAGCTGCTGCACTTCATTGATGATGACCACAAATGCATGTCTTACCTGTGGGAAGGTCTGAATCACAATTCTTTTTCTGGTCATGGTAAATTTCCCATCTGGGATTTTTATAACATAAATCTAGAACAACACACCCTGCAACTGTGTCTTTTCTAAACCTCTGTAGACTGCAGGCACGGTGCGTTCCTAGAGTGTAACCTCATTGTTGAAAAGACCTTGCCTTCCACACCCAACACAGCAGGGAGGACAGGCGAGGAGACCTGGTCTGAGGGAAAAGAGGGGTCTCATTGTCCCAGAGAATGTCCTTCCTTCATCTGGCATGGCTGAAGACCACCCCTGGAGAACACAGCATTACTGCACTGATTTGAGGCAAGAGAGGGCGCCTATCAGAAGGACCTGCTAACTAAGCCCACAGTGATTTTGAAAGAAGGAGCCACTCCTGGAGGACTGCCTGATACAGAGCCTGGAGAGTGTGGGGTGACTGTTCCGAGGGGCACACAGGGAGAAGGCTGCCAGCTGCCACCCATACTCTAAGGCACCACAGAGCAGAGAGGACCCGTGGGACACAAGCAGATGAGAGCAGACGCACGAGCCCACACATGGCTCAAGCCCAAGCCCAAGGATTGGCAATGGTAACTCAGCTCTGAAATCATGTGTGTGACATGAGAGTCACCCAGAAATAAGCACATCGGTGCCATTCTGGCAGCCCAGTCTTTTGTGGTTCTGAAACTTAATATCAGTGAAAGAAGCCTTGTGTCAGCCAGAAGAATGATCTGATTGGTGGACTGCCCTCCTAGAAATGGGGTGCTCTATAGGCAAGAGTCCTGGAGCTACTCGGACGTCTGGTCAACTCCTGGTGCCACTTGGAGGATGAGCAGAAGGTGGGGGTCAGTGGGGGTGGGGGGTGCACTGAAGGGGAGAGACAGGAACCAGGGACCACACGGCTCATGGTCCTGCCACCCCACCAGGCACCAGAGAACTCAGAAAATTTAGAGGAGGACACTCTAGAGCACAGCTTGTGTGACCTAAGGTGGCACTGTAGGGAGGTTCCTTCCAGGTCTGTGGTCCCATGATTCAATTCTTTATGCCTTAGTTTACCCACTCGTGCTGGGCCATTTTGAGATAATATAGTAAAACCTAATTACAAACATATTTGAGGTCCAGGGTCCCTCCCCTAAACTTCACTAGCACAATAAAAATGAGAGCAGCAGTATGGTTTGTCTAGATGGCAGGTGTCCTCCTGCCCCTTGATACTACCATTTTTGTGAAGCACTTGCAGTTCTTTGGAGGGCTGGGCTAAGACTCATTATCAGAAATTAAACTTCAAGTCCACATCAACAAGCACAATCTAAATTTTATTTGTAATGCTCAAACCAACTGCCTGAGGAGACGTGGGCTGCCGAGTACGCTTAAGGAAAGCTCCTTCTCAGCCAAGACCTTCCCCTGGGCTGCGTGCATCTTTCTCTCAATGCCAGGAAATCTGCAGGGCCGGAAAGGTGCCCATCGTCACTCAGGGCAGCTGAGCTGCCTTGTTGGAGAGGGGAAGCGTGGGCGAAGCCCCAGCCCTGCAGGACACAGATCTGCCTGGAGGAGAGTGCCGTCCCTGTGGACTGTTAAAGGTGGGTGGGGCCACCCGCACTTGTCTTCAAGGTCTTGCTCGGCCTGCTCCTTTCTCCAGGTGAGTCTTCCTGACTCTTAAGGTCAGACCAAGCTTCCTGTCATAGATGCAGATTGCTCACGGCTGCTTTCCTGCCTCACAATTATCTCAGCTGCCAAGAAATCACCGGTGCAGCACTTGATTAATTCTGACACCTCACAGAGCTGTAGGCTTCATGAGGGTGGGGATGGTGCCTGATTCGTTGTCAGTTGTCACCTCAGAGACAAATTCCATTCTTGGCATGTACTGGGTTTTCAATAAATAGTTGTTGAACAAATTAACGGATGTAGTAGAAAAGGATGGGTTGTTGGGGTCACACAGACCTGGATTCAACATTTTCTTTCTGGGCGATGTTTAACAAACGAAGCTTTTTGGGCCTTGGTTTTCACTTCCTAGATGGTGGGGATAGTAAAAATTGTGTTGCAGACATGGTGAGATTTATGCACATGGCATGTAGCAGCTGCTCAATAAATGTTAACTCTTTCTTCCTCTTAGAATTGAGAACAGAAAGTTTCCTAATGGCTTCTCTTCTCCTTAGCACATTTCCTGAAAGCGGTGCTCACAGTTCAATCTACCCCTTCCATTGGCTTCTCAAAGCACCCCAGCCTGGCCCCTCCCTCATCCTTCCCTGAGGCCACTCTCCAACTCAACCTTCACCACCACCCACTTCCTCTGCGTCTTTGATGACCAATAAAGGATTGGTAAGTGATTGATCAAGAATGCTTTGGGTGGAGACATCTCGGCACCAATGGCTTTAAGTCATGATGACGTTCTGCCCCAAAGACCTCTTCCAGCCTTACCCCTCACTTCTCAACCTCCCCTCCCCACCCTGGCTTTGGGAACACCTCCTCCTGCTTCCTGCACTGCCTCTTGGGGCCCCTGCCCAGACGCCTTTCCCATCCCCGTCTCCCTACTTTTCCCTCTTCTCGTCTGTCCTCATTTTTAACTCTCCTCCAACAAAACATCTGCACCCACAGGCCGTGGGTTATTCATCAAGTATTTGCCTCCCAGCTGCGTCTCCAGCCCAGCGTCAGAACTGTCCACTCACGTATTCACCACTGGACTGCAATAGAGGCTTCGAAAGAAACCCGTCTAAAATCAAACTCTTCACATTCCTTCCCCAAAGTCCTTGTGCCCCCCACGTGCCCCTTTTGGTTACTGGTTTCATCACCCTCAGTTGCCTGAACTTGAGAACCTTTCTCCATCTTCCCTCCCGCCTTCCTATCACAGTGTCACTATTCAAGTTTCAAAAGCAGAAGTCAAGCATCACGTCACTCCCTGCTCAGACATCTTCAGTCTCTCCCTTCTGTGGCCCTGACATTGACCTCCAAGCATGGCGTTCAGGCTCCAGCCAGTGTCTTTCCTTTCCACATCACTCTCTTACCACGCCCCGGATTCGGGGTGGCAGTCAGGTTTCATCTTGCGTGTCAATTCCAATTCATGCAGTTTGGCCAAAGCTCTGTGTCCAGAGGATCCAGCAGGAAAGGCTAAGTCCGCTTGTTGTCCATGGGGGGCAGGCCCAGGGAGCAGTGGCGGTACAGCTGCTCCCACTGCCCACCCTTCCAGCACCAGGGCCTGCTGAGGTCCCCCCAAACAAGCCCCACACTTTCCCACCTCTTTGCTCCTCTCATATAAGCCACTACCTCTAAAAGCCTTTCTTCAGCTTCTAATTCCAACTTGTTTTTCCTTTGAGGCTTGACTCAAAGGACATTTCTCCCTGAAAACTTCCCCAGCTTTAATGGAGTGTGCCTTCCAGGATCTGTAAGCGTTTTGTTGGTGCCTTCCCATCAGGCTGTACTGTTGTTAGTGCCTAACCGTCTCCCAGCTAAATCACAAGCCTCTAGTCTAGAAGGTACTTTTGCTGGGCCGTGGCTGTCAGGGGCCTCACGTGGTGTTCGGACAACCTCTAAGTCTTTCAAAAGGCCATAGGGTCCCAAGTGTCCCAGGTCACCTGGGTGTGCATATTCTTGGGGTCTCTCAGGCATACACCCCCAAGGCGAGGGGCTGGGTGGCTGGCCCCGGCCATCACACATCGGGGCAGAGACACATCACACCCACGTGGGATGCTCTTGTGTCCGGTAACTGCAGGCCCCGCTAGGTGAACCTCAGTAAATGTGTAACTCAACCACGTACCAGCTCGTTCTGTTCAGCAGCAAAGTGTGCATCGATCACCCTGACCTCCTGGAAGCAGTCCCAGCATGACAGTCCCTCTGGCGTCCGTCCCCCACTCAGGCCTGGCTGCCTGAGGCCCCCACCCCCAGGGTGAAGTAACCCCCCCTCCCCAGCCTGGGCACAGAACAGTCTGGGAACAGCTCCGCCCCCACCCCTCAGATATAAATAGGGCCTCAGCGCCCAGCCAGAGAAAGAAGCCGCCCTTCTCGTGGGGACTGAAGCGGAAGGTAAGCCGGGAGCCCCTCCACACCACCGGCCCGGCCCCTGCCCTTCCTGTCTCGCTCAAGGCAGCTGAGTTGTCTGTCTGCTGGGCTTAGAAGGCCAGGGGGGCTCTGTGGGGAGGGGGAGGGAGGCTGGAGGGCAGTGGCTGAAGGGCACCCAGGAGCCAGGAGCCAGGGGACGGTGGTGACCTGTGCCGCAGGAGACCTTACCACTGAAGACTCAGGGGCTGTCGCTTGCTTCTCGTCAGGCCAGGTGTCCAGACCTGGGCTGTCTGCCCTCCGGCCCCCGCGTCCTACCAGAGAGCCTGCTCCTCCTCGGCAGCAGGCAGGGTGGCTGGGTCCTCCCGCTCCCTCTGAGCAGGGCTGGGTCCTTCATGGAAGCAGAGTCATGGTGGCCAAGAACCCACGGGGTCCTCCTCCAGTCAGAAGGAACAGCAAGGCCAGTGGTGCAGGCAGTGGAGCTGGGGGAAGGGCAGACTTTGCTGCCCTGCGGCTGTGTCCCCACAGGGTGCAGGTGAGGGGTGGCCCACATCCCTGTGGGGCAGTGCTGTCTCTGGTCCTGGAGTCAAGGTCTGGGTCTGTGAAATCAAACTCAGCACTGTCTCCCTGAGCCTCGGTTTGCTCATCTATAAGATGGGACAAATAGCCATGCATGGCCTCCCTTTCTCATGGACTGTGGTGTAAATTAAGAGAGCTAATGCAACATGAAAGTGCTTTCTAAAATTTCAGATAAACGAAAAAGGCACATTCTTATTATTTTGTTAAAAAGGCAGTATAGATCAGTGCTTAAGTGGATGGGCTACAGCGTCGGGGGTCTGGGTTTAAATCTTAGTTCTGTCTCTTACCAGCTTTGTGACGTTGAGCAAGTCACTGAACCTCTCTGTTCCCCTGCACAACAGCATTGATGAATTCATTTAACAACTGCTTATCAAGCAGCCTTACATCCCAGGCAAAGAGCCTGCTTTCATTGGGTTTGTGTTCACATGGGATGAGATAGGCAATAAATACTAAATATAACAAACAGACAGACAAATAAATGAATAAATGATACAGAGTGTTACAAGGTGATCAGGGCTATGGGAAAAGGAGAGTAGGGCATCATAAATGGGCTCAGAGTGCCAGGCGTGGGGGACAGCTGCAGTGTGGAATATAGTGTCAAGGAGGCCTCAGCAGGAAGGGCTGTTGTGAAGATTAGGTGAGCTGATACGTGAAAAGCCTGGAACCATGCCTGGCAATGGGGATTGTTAGCTGCCACCCTCGCCATTTTCTTTATGCCACCGAGCCACGAAGAGGAGGGACCCTGAGAATGAGGGGCTGGTAAGAGGGAACCCAAGGAGGGGTGAGGCAGACATGGGCAGCAGGCCCCCCTCCCACCCTCCTGGGGTCGCCCACCACCCTGCACTTCCAGCTAATTCTCAGGCCCCGCTGTGTGCTGACTGAGAGCCAGCAGGGCAGCAGCTGACCACAACTGAGAGCAAACAGCAGCTTCTGCCTTGAAAATGATCCACGAAATTGCTTCACTTGACTGTACCTGTGCCCTGCTGGGGGCGGGCAGGCGGGGCTTGTTTACCTGCACGGCCCAGACCTGGGCCGGTGGACGCCTGTTCCTGCAGGGTCCCCAGCACTCAGCTCCACCGCTTGTCCCGATGACCCTGCCCCGACTGGGCCTTTTACAGGAGGCCTGCGTGGACAGGAAGGGAGATTCCCACTATCATGGAAGTTAGATAAAACAAAAAAACAAAAACCAAGCCCAAAATAAAACCCTGCAAAACACGCCTCAGACTGTAACCATGTGCTTTGCACCTGGACCATATAGACGTGTTCTGTGGAGCGTGAGTCCATTTCTTTTCACTGAAATGCATGGCTGTAGATGGATTTCTCCTGGGCTAGATGGTTGCAGGGAGTCATGGAACCACTGAAACTGGCTAGAGGGCACTTAATAACTGCCTTTTGCCCTTCATAGAACATTTCAGGTACGTGGAATCGAGCTCCCCACTGGAGATGACTCCTGCAAGTGTGAGCCTGAGGGCCACCGTCCTTTGTCTCCTGGCCTGCGCTGGCCTGGCTGCTGGTGACCGGGTGTACATACACCCCTTCCACCTGCTCGTCTACAGCAAGAGCAGCTGTGACCAGCTGGAGAAGCCCACGGCAGAGGCGCCCAAGGACCCGACATTCACACCGGTCCCGATTCAGGCCAAGACATCCCCAGTGGACGAGGAGGCCCTGTGGAAACAGCTGGTGCTGGCCGCCCAGGAGCTCGAGAGTGAAGACAAGGCGAGGGCGGCCGTGCTGGGGATGCTGGTCAACTTCATGGGCTTTCGCATGTACAAGACGCTGAGCGAGACCTGGAGCGCGGCCAAAGGGGCTGTGCTCGCCCCACCGGCTCTCTTTGGCACCCTGGCCTCCTTCTACCTGGGAGCCTTGGACCCCACGGCCAACAGACTGCAGGCACTCCTGGGCATGCCTGGGGAGGATCAGAGCTGCACCTCCCGGCTGGACGGTCACAAGGTCCTCTCTACCCTGCAGACCATCCAGGGCCTGCTGGTCGCCCAGGGTGGGGCGAGTGGCCATCCCAGGCTGCTCCTGTCCACGGTGGTGGGTCTGTTCACGGCCCCCGGCCTGCGCCTGAAGCAGCCGTTTGTGCAGGGCCTGACTCTCTTCTCCCCGGTCACCCTCTCACGCTCTCTCGACTTGTCCACGGACCCAGATCTCGCTGCTGAGAAGATTACCAGGTTCATGCAGGCTGTGACGGGGTGGAAGATGAACAGCCCCCCAACGGGAATCAGCCCTGACAGCACCCTGCTCTTCCACACCTACGTCCACTTCCAAGGTAAGGCCAACCCTCCAGGCGGGCTCTGCCCCCAGGCCGGTGCCAAAGGTGGCAGTTCTCTGTGTCTATGGACTTAATGAGCAACGTTTCAGCTGGTTGGGGCCAGGCCTTGGGGTGGGCATGGTGACAGACGTGAGGGAGTGTTGGAGAGCACCCTCAAGAAGGATGGGAGCTGCTGCCCTACTGGGCTCCCTGGAAGAGCATTGGCTGCGCTTAGCCTACCCACCTGCTGCCCTACTGCGTGCAGCTACTCTGCTGCATGCTTGCAGTCTCATCCTTCCCCTTTAATCCCATGATGCAGTGAAGGGGTGTTACTGTGTTTGTTAACTGTAAAGAAATAGAGACTCAGAGAAACAAAATGACTTGCTCAAGATGGCCCAGCCCTGAGTGGGAGTCCTGGGATCCAAATCCACACCTCCTGAGCCCAAGCCCAGCTCCGTGCTCAGATGGGCTGTGTTTCTGTCTTTTGAGACGGTCACTATCCCCTGTAAAAACAACTGATGCGTTTGCTTAAATCACTTTCATGTTGGCAGGGTTATTACCCAGAAGTCCCTGCTACACAGGTTGCTCATTCATTCAACAAACAATCATTGAGGATTTACTACCCGCAGGACTCTGAGTTGGGCATCTCAGAGGGGCCAAGGAGGAAGGGTGCATGGGCTGCCACCCGCTTCTCAAAGTTCAAAGCGGACTGAACCTGAGGGCAAATGCTTGGGCCACAGTGCTACAGGCAAAAGCGATTCACATCCAGGAGGCTCAGGTCACTCGGAAGAGGGGCTCACTGGGGAGTGAACAGAAGGGATGGCAAGGGGAGCAGGGCTTCGGGGAGCAGGGCTTTAGTGAAGAGAAGCAAGCGAGCCAAGGCTGCCATGTCTAGAACGGGGGCAGCTTTACTTGGCTGGAGAGAAGGATGGGGGGCAGGGCTGCAAAGGCGGGGCACTCATTGAATGTGTTGCTTGAAGGTTGGAGCTCTGTGGTGGCAGGTGGCAGAGTGCAGGTGGTCCCGGCGGCCTGCGCTGTGTGCATCGGAGGTGGGAGGGCCCTTGGAAGGTTTTGCCACAGTCCAGGCAAACTCTCCAGGGGGCACACAATGAGGTAGTGGCCCTGTGACCGATGGGTGGGCTGGGGATGTTGATGAGGTTCCATCAAGGTGTGTAACCTCCGGGGGGACAGAAAGCTAGTGGTAGAAAGATAGTGCCGTGAAGAGAGAGAGGTTACAGTGCATGATCATTTTTGCACTCTGAGAAAACGCTGGAAGTCTGTAAATCGTACAGGGAGAGGACCGGGCTTGCTCAGGTCCCAGCACTGACAGCACATGGGAGCAGAGGGCAGCACGGGCCATCCTGCTGTCCCTAAGAGGGGCCCAGGAGAAGTGGTCTCTGAGGAGGCTGGGCTCCCAGCGGAAAACCCAGAGAGCCGCTGGTGTCAGAAAGGGGCCTCCCTTCGGGAAGTGCCTGTCCCATGATCCCGGGAGGCAGAGCTGGACAGAAAGAGGGGGTGATGTGGAGAAAGGCAAACCCCGTTCGGGACAGGACGGTCGTCTTGGTTGGTGCGCCCCAGCTCTGCTGCGGCCCAGCCCTCTGGCCTCGCGCCCTAGCTGGTCCTGGCTCAGCTTCTGTCCGATGCAGATGCACAGCTTTCCTGCCACCTCGGCATGTCCAGCTCGGCATGAAATGAGCAGCTGTATGGGGAGTTCTAAGTCCCTTCCAGTGATAATGTCTGATTACGATGGCCTCAGGGCACAGCTGGGACTTGGGGCCCCTGAGCTCTGGGTGCCCTTTGCCCCGTGCTGCAGCACCCTGAGCTGGGCGCTGGCCCCGGCAGGTCCTGCCACATCCGTTGACTTAACCTTGAGAGATTTACTTAACTTCCGCGTGAGGACCCTGCTTTTCAGATGAGCAGGGGGAGAGGGCAGCCCCCAGTTCACATTCCAGAGTCTGTTTGCCTTAGTTTGCAGGTGGAAGAAGTTTAGTCCTTTTACCCTCTAAACTGAAAAGCCTCCTGCCAGCACCCAGGCCCTCCTGCTTCCTGTCCACGCCCCTTCCTCTAGCTGCTCTTGTCAACCGCCAAAGCCCCCGGGGATAAAGGACAAGGAGACACTGGGTCTGCTCCCCTTTCAAGACCCTGAGAAGGCGAAGCTGGCCCAGGCCCCTCCGCCAGGAGGCCTGCCCTTCTAGCTCCCTGCCCCCTTGTGCTCTGGGGACCTCGGATTCAGGACAAAGGGACCCCCAAGACTTTTTCAGCCACCTCTATTCAGACTCCATGCCAGGTGCCCAAGGGGCTGCTCTGTGACAGACTCCACCTCAGCTTCAGCTTGTCCTCCCAGAAACAGCCACAGACTGGGGCTTTCAAGGCGAGTGGGAGGGCAGCACAGGGACGCGCTGTGCAGCCATCAGGACAGAGGTTTGGCTGCTGCCAGGAGAGACTGCAAGTGACAGTGTCGTCAACAAGAGTTGGCTTACCTCCAGGACAGCCACGCTGCGGGCAGCTCACCTCTGTGACTGCCTGCCCCAGCCCTCTGCTGGGAGGGACAGAGAGGGCTCACGGCACAGAGGGTGTCCAAGCACCCCAGCTTGCGTCCACTGTCACAACTGGTGGTATGTCTGTCCCTAGCAGCAAGAGGTCCTGAGAAGTGTAGCCTTCATTCCCAGGGGGGCATGCCCAACGCTGGTTCTGTGACTGGGAATGGGGAATGACCCTGGGCCACGGTCTCCGTCACAGCTGGGGCGTGCACAGGTTAAAAGTGAGCGAGCGTCGAGGATGTTTAGGGCCGCGAAACTACCCCGTATGACACTGTAATGGTGGACAAGTGTCATCACACGCGGACCCAGAGAATGCACCTCCCCGCGTGGACTCTGGGCGACTGTGTGTGGGCACCCGCGCATCCCTGCCAGCTCACCGTTTAGCAGACCCCTGCTCGGTGGGATAGGGGTGTTGACCGCGGGGAGCGGGGTGTGGGTGCATGGGGATCTCTGGACTTTTCTCTTAATTTTGCTGTGAACCCAAAACTGGTGTAAAAAGTAAACTTGATATTTTTTAAAGTAAGATGCGGGACCACCAGGGTCTGCCCAGCCCAGTGACTGTCCCCTTATATCTCTGTCTGGGTCTCTAGGACAGATGAAGGGGTTCTCCCTGCTGCCGGGGCTCCGGGAATTCTGGGTGGACAACACCACGTCAGTGTCCGTCCCCATGCTCTCGGGCTCGGGCACATTCCAGCACTGGAGTGACACCCAGAACAACCTCTCCATGACCCGGGTGGACCTCAGCAAGAACGCCTGCCTGCTGCTCATCCAGCCCCACCACGCCTCGGGCCTGCAAGCAGTGGAGGCCCTCACCTTCCAGCACGACTTCCTCACGTGGACAAAGCAGCTGTCTCCACGGTAGGTGTTCCAGGGAACCACCCCTGGACAGTGGGAGCCTCCCTGGTCTTGCCCAGGGCGAGGTGGTGGTAGTGGGGGGGGGGGCACAGGTGCCGGTGTGGGAGCCCTGGCATGGGCGGGGCTGTGGAGCGGGCTTTTGTGCATCTGTCCATCAACCCAGTGCTCAGTGTCGGCTCTTTCTGGGTGGGGGCGAGCTGCTTCTCCCTGGGCTTGTCTTTCCTCCTGTTTGGAGGGTCGGGGCCCAGACACACACACACAACCTACCGCATTCCAAGACGCCCCTGAGGGTTGGGACTCCTCAGAGACCTGGGAGCGGCTTTCTCGGGGAGCTGCCCTTGACTCCAGATGCCCCTGGTTCGCTGCCCATTTGCTCCTCGTCCGGACTGTGATGGGAATAGAGCAGTTCCCTTTCCCAGGCATGAGACATGGCTCCATGCCAGGCCCAGTGCAGGGCGTCCAGAAATCTGCACTAAGGGGCACAGATGGCCTCCGCAGCTCAGCTCTTTTTTTGTTGTTTTGTTTTGTTTTGTTTTATTGTGGTAAGTAATCGTTTTTAAGTGTGTGTCTCTGTGGCATTAAGCACATCCACACTGCTGTGCAGCCGTCACCACCATCATCTCCAGAACCTTTCATCTTCCCAAACTGACACTCTGTCCCCATTAAACAACTCCCATCCCTCCCCCAGCCCGTGGCACCCACTCATCCATTTTCTGTCTCTATGAATGTGACGACTTTGGGGGCCTCATAGAAGTGAAATCACACAGTATTTGCCCTTTTGTCACTGGGTTATTTCACTGAGCATGATGTCCTCAGGGTTCATCCATGTGGTAGCTGGTGTCAGAACGTCCTTCCTCTTTCATTTATTTTATTTTTTTTTTTTAAGAATTTTATTGGGGAATTGGGGGAGGGAACAGCATTGGGGAATCGGGGAAGGGGAACAGACAAGTTGCTGTCCTTTTATTCTTCAGTCTAGTTATGGAAGATGTCGCTTCACTGGCCCATGTTGGTATTGTGATCATTGCACTCTTCCCGGCTCAGTCAGTCGGTCGCTGGCCATTGGACGGCTGCTCATGGCAGCTCACGGCAGCTCACGCCAGCTGCTGGCCACTCACGGTAGCTTATGGCATCCCACTGCAGCTCCACTGCAGCCTACACTGTCACCGGGGACTCATGGCAGCCCAGCTCCAGGTGAAGCTGTTGTTCACCATCTTACCTATAGAGGACGCAGTGTCACTGGCTCATGTGGAATCCAAACTGGTGGCCCTGCAGCTGAGAGCTGGCATCCCAAGCCAACTCTTAACCAGCGAGCCACTTGGCCAGCCCTGAATGTCCTTCCTCTTTAAGGCTAATATTCCAGTGTGTGGATGGACTGCATTTTGCTTGTCCATCATCCACCGATGGGCACTTGGGTCACCTCCACCTTTTGGCTGTTGTGAGTAGTGTGGCTGTGCCACTGTGTGCTGTCAGCTCTTGTTAGGGTTTGGTGTGTCCCTGGGGACATGTGTGGGTTCTTGGAACACCGAAAGGGGGCAGAGCTTCCAGTGATGTGTGTGGCACAGAGGCCGACACTGGGCTTGTCCTCCTGCCTCTCTCCCTCTCCGGGGTCTCTGCATCAGGAACACCACTTACGGGTGGCCAGTTCATCCTGATGCATTATTTTAGAGAGCAGCATTTTAAATAATCCAAGTCATACACCTCCAATGCAGCCCACCTAGAAACACCAGACTGAAGGGCGGTGATTCAGTCGGTCGCCCAGAGAGCACTGCTAACTGTTGTGCCTCCTTCTCACGGGACATGAAGTGTGTTGCTGAAATTTTCCCAAGACAACTTAGCTGGGTGAGGGTCAAGGTCCCCTTTCACACGGACACATGCGTCTGGCTCTCCAGGTCTTTGTGTGTGGCCCAGTCCTCGCGGTGGGAGCCAGCTGAGGCTTCCTAACTGTGGGTCATGTCCCCAGGGCCATCCGCCTGACCATGCCCCAGCTGGTGCTACGAGGCTCCTATGACCTGCAGGACCTGCTGGCTCAGGCCAAGCTGCCCACCCTGCTGGGAACCGAGGCGAACCTGGGCAAAATCAGTGATGCCAACCTCAGCGTCGGACAGGTACCGTGTGGTCATTGGTGCCTAACTTGGGTCTGCGTGTTCGTGGGGTAGGAGGCGTAGATGGGAAGGACACAGAGGACGCTTCAGGCATGTGGGGAAAGATAGGAGGGAGAAGAGGGCATGGCCTGGCGGGTGTGCAGCCAGGGTGAGAGGGAAGTGACCTTTCTGGGGCTTTCCAGAGAAGGGTGGAGAACAGCAAGTACCCTCCACCCTCTCCATCCCGTCTTCTGGCTCTGCCCAGCCTGGCCCAGCCTGGGACCCTCCCCAGGTCCTAAAGCAGGGTCAGGACTCCACAAGAGAGGAAGTGCCCCAAACTCGGGGCCGGCCCCATCACACAGCTCCTGGCTTCAGAGAAACTCCCACAGTGAACAGACTAGTCTGCTGTCGCACGGAACAATGCACCTCAGCAATGAGAAGGGGCCTGGATGATATGGGCACTGTTCTCTGTGCTGGGGAGAAATGGGGTCACTCCCAGTCCTGGCCTCAGACACCACTGGGGGGTAACGAGCCCTGCATGCTAAGTGAGGTCACTCAGAAGCCACTGTGGGGGTGCAGTAAGGTGCGTGGTAGAGCCCGGTGGGTCTGAGGGACACTGGGGGGGGGGAGCTGTCACGTGAGTGAGGGCTGTTGAGGGCGCCGCGCACTCCATCCCCTCCTCACCTTCGCAGGTGCTCAACAGCGTCCTCCTTGAACTCAAAGCCGAGGACGGACAGCAGCCCACAGAGTCCGCCCAGCAGCCGGCTGGGCCTGAGGTCTTGGAGGTGACCCTCAACACCCCGTTCCTGTTTGCCATCTATGAGCGAGACTCCACGACCCTCCACTTCCTAGGCCGTGTGGCCAACCCACTGAGCGTGGTGTGAGGCCTGTCACCACGGGTGAGGGCAGCAGCACATGGCATTGCTCATTTGTCACCACTGTCTCCACTTGTTGTCCGGATGAGTCAGCGTGGAGCGGGAAAGAAGCCGGTTCTCCTGGGCCAGCGCGGCTGTGTAAAACGAGCCACAGAAGCTGGCCTCAGGGTTCCCGGGTTTCTCTTGGGGGACGTGGGGGCTGCTCAGGACAGCCTTTAGCCCAGGACGACTGTTCTGGAAAGTTTGCACAGACCAGCGTGTCTGTGAAACCAAAAATTGTTTCCTTTCTAAGTGAGAGCAGACATTGTGTTTTAAGTTAACATACACACTTTTCATTGTCCTGGGCTTGTCTTTAGCTTATTGAATCGAGCCTGTCACCTGCATGCGGTCCCCACCACGCCTAAGCTTTTCCCGCTTTCTCACTATTTCTTTCCCATGATACTTATGATTTTTGAAAAACACTAGAATCTGAATGTATGTTAGAATGTAATAAATAGCATGTCTGATTATCCTGTGTTATTAATAAATGTCTTACAACAAAAACCGAAAAAGAAAAATTCTATCTTTCATTTAGCAGCAAAGCACTCAGGTAATAGCACTGAGCCGCAGACCGTGCACACGAAGTGCTTCCTGGGACTTGGAGCCATAGGTGGATGGCATGTCCATGGAGGGCACAAGCCATCACTCAGCCAGCATTTGGAGAAGCTGGAGGTGATGTGTTTCTCTGGACACTTCCACTCCTAAGCAGCAGCGACTGTGCCAGATGGGTGGGCATGGGGGAGGCCCTATGCCCCGGACAGACGGGCATTTCCTCATTCCGGGGACACAGGGTGACACTGCCGCTCACACTGTGCCCTGGAGCAGGAGGTAGAGAAAGAAATCTTCACACTTGCACGTTCCTTTCTACCTGTTGAGTGTCCCTGCCTGTCCCCCTGGAGCAAACCTGAGAAGGGGGTGGGCCCCGGCAGGCCCAGGCTGCCGAGGCACAGGTGGAACTCCCTCCCTCCTTCCCTCCCTCCCACAAGTATGGGACAATAGGGAGGGGCTGGAAGGCAGCCTGCGGGAGTCAGCAGGGGCAGCTGCAGAGGTGACCGATGCTTTCCCTTCATGATTTCATGGGCTGAGGCAGGCCACACGCGTCCTGCTGTTACGGTGACTGCCCTGTGCACTCATGCCCCGGCCTTGCCCGCCCCTCTGCTGGGCCATCGTAGCCACTCTCCAGTGGGTGCAGGCCCGGCCCGCACAGAACAGCAACGACGTCCTCCAAACCTCAGCTTGTCCCCTCACATCCCCAAGGCCCTTCTAGCTTAGAACGCACCTCCCTGGCTTTGGTGTCACAGGGCACAGCTGGTGCGTCCCACCTCTGCAGGTGTGGCCAGGTCTGACAAGGTTTGTGCTCAGCTGTGCCAGGCACATGATGGGGCAGCATAGCAGTTCCAGAGGCATGGGTTTCAGAGATGGATGGGCTGGCATGAAGCCAGCTCCAACACTTGCTGCTGTGTGACTTGGAGCAATTCACTTCACCTCTCTGGGCCCCCCTGCCCTTATTTATAAAATGGGAGATGCTTGACTGAATAATGAATAGTAACCACCATTATGCCACTGGCACCCAGCCCATAATAGGAGGTGACCTCCACCCTGTCTAGAAGTCTTGTTCCAAAAGGTACAGCAGGAATGGCAGTGTTTACCTGTGGGCCACAGTGGGAGGCTGAATAATGAACGGCCCCTGAAGATACTCAGGCCCTAATCCCTGGGATCTGTGACTATGACCTTGCACAGCACAAGGTCACAGGGGGCTTTGCAGGTGGGATTCAATGAAAGACCTTGGGGTGAGGACATGGTTCCGGGTCATGTGGTGCAATCATGAATTCCTTATAAGAGGAAGGCAGAGGAGAATGGAAGACCCAAGAGGAAAAAGGTGATGTGATGTTGGAAACGAGGAGAAAAGGTGATGTGACGTGGTGCTGCTGGCCAAGGAATAAGGACCACCCAGGACGCTAGGAACGGAAGGACAAGCCCCCCAGAGCCTCCATCACTTTGGATTCACGCTCTCAGGTGGACGAGGCTTCTTTAGTCAGAGCCATACCTGGGCAGCTTCCTCCGTGATTCCTAAAACAAGTGCCCACGAAACCATATTGACTGTGGGACTCAGAGTTGCTTTTCCCAGCCCCAGCACACACCCTCCTTCATTCAACAAATATCCGGAAGTTGCCAGCTGAGTGCCAGGCTTGTGCGTGGGGACACAGCAGGGAGCCCAGTCATCCTGCAATGTCATCCTGAGGCCGCCCTTAATGACACAAGACAACACTGCCACAGTGCAGCTAGAGGAAGAAAAGATTTGTGCTTTTAACTTCATTTAAAAAGCAACTGGCAGTAGACGAATGGACTTCCCAACTCAGCAGGCTGCCTGGGCTCCAGCGGTTGCTAAGAGTGAAACATCACCCACCAACGACCGCTGTTCTGTTCCGGAGCCTTTACAAACGGGGATTTGGGTCAGGACGTTACAAGAATACAAAATACCAACATTTCGTAGGTTACCTAACACAAAAAAATTAATTCTAGGGCTTTGTTTCTCTTAAGCATTTTTTCATTGAATTCTAAGTATTCCTGGGTCGCCAAGGGCTCATCCAGCAGACATGGCAGCTCATGAGCAACTGAATACACCCTGAGCCCCAGATTTGGGCTCTCGAGACCCGGAGCCTGACCGTCAGGGGATGCTGTCCCGGCCCGCTGAGCAAACTCACTGGATCCAAATCCTTCACTGACTTTAGAAAAGTGAAGGATCTTTGTTACTCGTTTGGCAGCAAAACCTAATCTGAACAGATATGGGCTCTTTGAACTTTTTGCATTATAGAAGCTTCTCATGGAGACAGTTTCAATGTGCTGTCCCCAGATGTGTGTGAGATGACCAGGTGCCGTTCCAGAGCCCCGGGGGTGTCACATGGTCCACAGGCTAGAAACCATGGCACCTTCCTAAAATCTGAAAAATCTTGATCATGAGACATGTACTGAAGCTTTGGGACAGCAAGCAGACTGGATTTGAGCATCACCCCATGTGATTTCTTTTCTAACAGACTTTATTTTCTAAAGCAGTGTTAGGCTCACAGCCAAACTGAACAGGGAGTACAGGGAGATCCCATGTCCCCACGCGGACACAGCCTTCCCACCATCAGCACCCTCATCGGGGGGGACGTTTGTCACAGTGAACCTACACAGACACGTCGTCGTCTGCCAGATCCCATCATTTACATTAGGGTTCTTGCTTGGCGGCAGTACATTCCACAGGTTTGGGCAAATGTTAAATGACATTTATCCATCATTACAGGGTCATACAGAGCATTTCACTGGAAGTCCCCTGTGATTTACTTGTTTATCTTCCTTCCCCCTCTGAGCCTTTCACTATCTCCATGGTTTTGCCTTTTCCAGAATGTCCAGAGTTGGAATCACACAGTGATTTCACATAGCCTTTTCACGTTGGCTTCTTTTACTTAGTAACATGCATTTAAGCTTCTGCCATCTCTTTTCGTGGCTTGATAGATAGCTCCTTTCTTTTAGTGCTGAATAATATTCCACAGTCTGGAAGGACCACAGGTTATTTATCCATCACCTACTGAAGGGCAGCTTGGTTGCTTCCAATTTTTTTGGTAATTAAAGTTCTCTATGTAATTTTTATAGTTATAGAATGAGCAGAAACTCACAAACCATGTGTGCTGAACGTCAGTGGATGGGGGTCTCGTGGCCTATGTCCCTGTATTCAGGGACATTTTGCCCTTGAGTTACCTGGAAAGAGATGCATTGTCTAAGGCTGCTTTTACATTTTGTTAGGGGGGTCCAGACCAGCTGGTTGGGGCTAATTGGGCTCCGCCACTGAGACCATGTCCTTCCAGGGGCTTTACTTGTGGCCCATGTCAGAGCCTGTCTGTTCCGGCTGGCAGGAACACATGCTGTTTCCAGGCCCATGCAGCTCTGAGGGTTGTCATGCCTGCTCCTTCCTGGGGGTCCCCTCCTGGCCCCAAGAGCCTCCTTGCCCAGGTGTCGACCAGCTACAGAAGCCGAGCAGCCCTCTGCAGACCCCTCCTCTCTGTTACTCTGCCCACACGGCCTAGTGTCCTCAGCGCCCCCAGCTCTAAAGTGTCACAAGTCAGGGCGTCAGCCAGGCTGTGCGTCTTCCAGGACACTGGGGGTGGGGGGGGGCTGTCACAGGACTCGCCTGGCCTGTGCCCCTTCTCTCTGGGAGCCAGGCTGTGTAGACCAAAGTCTTAACAGTGCAGTTCTGTACATTTGTCTCGCTTTTTAGCTGTTTAAGGTGGGAGAATAAATAGGTCCTCGTTAGTCCATCAAGCTGGGTCACACAAGAAACTTCAACAATCAAAATGCCATCTAAAAGGTTAACAATGCATTTTAGCTCAACATTAAGGAAACCCAAGAAGAGAAGAGACTCCCGACTGACCTGAAATTCAGTCAGAAAGTGAAAACTACTAATCTAGAGTAGGTGGACCAGGGAGGTACTTCTGAAGTCAAACGAATACTGGTTTGTTACTCGGTAGTCACAGGTTTTGCCGCCATCCCACATGACACTCAGCGGTCAATCAGGAGAGGCAGGGTCCTTCCAGGGCTACTGAGGTTTGGGTGGTGCCAGAGAGGTTTGCACATCTCAAGTGACAGTGTTTCCTTCAGAGCTGCTGAAACTGAGGTGTGCTGAGGACAGGGGACCGCCAAATGGGGGCAGGCCTGCTCTTTCATGGGGTGAAACCTTTGTCTGTGATGCTGGGTCCCTGATCAGGAGAGATTGCTCAAATGCATTAAGGTGCCACGAGCAGCAGAAAAACACAGTGCCTTCAATTAAGAGGCTTCACGGGTCTTGCTGGGGAATTAACATTCATTCAGCGTCTGGAGTTTGTCACCATTTTTGAGTTCTGAAACATGAGCAGCCCACAGGGCTTTGCAGTCTCAAGGGCATAGTAATGTCAGCGCCGATTCTGCACCAACAACGGGCTGCTGTCCTTGACACAAAGAAGCACCGGAGGACCTGTTCCCTGGAAACAAAAGGGCTTTTCAAAGCAAGTGGCAACAAGTGTTCATTGAGATCAGTGGGAACAGCGGGACTCATCAATTCAGGCAGAAGCCCAAACAGTGTTCCGAACAGAACAGGAGACCAAGATGGGAGGGGACAATGACGCCCACAGAAGGAAGGCGTTGCTACTGGAGCAGATAAGCCAACACAGTGACGCTGGTTCTAAACCACGCCTCCCATTTTCAGTGCAGTATCAGCTGCTTTCTTGTTATCCTTGCAAACAGTTCTTTGGGAAAAAGATTGCTTAGGCCCCATCCAGGTCACTTTGCCCTGTTTTAACACACACAGGTTTGAGGCATCAGACGTGCAAGGCAGCCCCTCTGGCATGGCAGCTCCCACGGCATTTTAAAGTGGCCCCATTTACATTATTGTTTAAAAATGCAAAGGAAAGCCAGCATTACTTCCTGCCTCATATGATTCCTGAGTCACCCTGCTTTTGTCCCACTATGAGGTATATAAGACATAGGGTAGCCTCTTCCATAG